GTGAAAACTCTAATCACAATGGAGGGACGATTCCGAGAATGATCCACCATGATCCGACCATGATCCGACCATGACCCGAGACCGTCTCGCACACAGCGTTCCGCAAAGCTAGACTTGCCAGCTTCGGAGCCACCCCTTCTATTGAAAAACGCAGCATTTCGTGCGTCCGCTATCTCTCGAGAACGCATTTTGTATTGCGCCTGCCACGAAATCTGCACATGGAGGTTCACAAAGTGCTGTGCCTGCCACGAACTCTGCACATGGAGGTTCACAAAGTGCTGTGCCTGCCACGCAAACTGGAGCTAGAGCTATTGAAACTAGAGCTAACTGGAGCTAGAGCTCTTGAAACTAGAGCTACCTGGAGCTAGAGCTATTGAAACTAGAGCTACCTGGAGCTAGAGCTCTTGCAACTAGAGCTAACTGGAGCTAGAGCTCTTGAAACTAGAGCTAACTGGGTGATGAGTGGTGTATTATGAGTGGTGTATGATGAGTGGTGTATGATGAGTGGTGTATGATGAGTGGTGTATGATGAGTGGTGTATGATGAGTGGTGTGATGAGTGGTGTATTGATGAGTGGTGTATTGATGAGTGGTGTATGATAAGTGGTGTCTGATGAGTCGTGTATGATGAGTGGTGCATTGATGAGTGGTGTATTGATGAGTGGTGTATTGATGAGTGGTGTATTGATGAGTGGTGTATGATAAGTGGTGTCTGATGAGTCGTGTATGATGAGTGGTGTATTGATGAGTGGTGTATTGATGAGTGGTGTATGAACAGTTCTTGAATGTCCGTAACACGGAAGTTTCGTACTCTAAACTTCCTTTGATCAGAGGGCCATCACCGCCAGCGGGCCCTCTACTCTGCGCACACATTTTGCTGGCCGGACTCGGGGAAACATGTCCAAGAAGCTTGATGATGTCTTGTCCACTCAACGCGACCACACACACCTCGACCAAGTCCTGCAGCTCAAACAATCTCCAACGGTCATGAAGACTGTATTGCCCAGTCTTCAAACCCTTCGGACTTGGCGCTATCAATTGGACCTCTCAAACGGACCTGTGACCTGAGTTACATTCGACCCTGTCACCCGTGTCAAACAGATTCGTTAGATCTTTGCACTGGCGACCTTCATAGATCCCGTATCAATCACATAACCGCACACCTCATCAGGTTCAGCAACCAGACCAAGCGGAGCCATGGGAGCCGGAAACGGTGTGATCGAAGGCTGAACTGCTAAAAAGCTCTAAGAAGTGCTCACATCTGCGGTGTGCCGATTGAAACCTCACCAATGCATATGGCTAGAAGATTAAAGACTTTGGGCTGCATTGAATTGAGGTCGTTAGAGTCCTTCGGAGTATTTTACATTAAAATATATGCAACTAGCCCTTGCCAGCACCTTCAAGCTGATTTTGCAGCAGCCGGTGGTAGACTTGAAAGGTTTGTCTGATGAAAACTTGTACCCTACGGTCTTCCTTCCTACTTCAGCAAAGACCAGCCCTTTCTCTAGCATTCAGTAGCTAACGGTTAACGTAGTCTTTACGTTGTGGTTTTGCCAAAAGAAATGGAGTGCATTGCCTGACAAAGCCGTTCACATGCTATCTTGATGTGACTCACCTGTACCTCAGCAGCAACAAAGTTTTTTATTGACAGAAGCTGCGCTCAGTGCCTCCATACACCAGCCGCATGTTTGGCAATGCTTCACCTCAAACGGCGCGAGATTCTCGGCACATGTTCAACAGCTGCATAGACCGTCTACCCCTGAAAGCTTGGGTGTCTGAAAGTATAAGAAACATTGATTGAGATATCTTGAGGTTCAACTGCACTTGCTTCATCTTCTGGAGAGTTAGCAAAAAAGCTTCACGAGGACTGAAAAGCTTCTTCCGGAAGCCATTCAATTCCCTGACTGACTTGCAACAAAATGTCAGCACGCGGTAGAGAAAATCCAAAAGTGAATTTCCGCAAGAGAGAAAATCTGGTGTTTTGAGAACAATGGCCCCAAACAGGTAAAACTTCCCAATGCTCAGTGGCTCCCAGAGTTGGTACCGGAAACCCCTATAATATATATTTATATGTGTTTGAGGGTTTTCCTCTTGAACCAATCCATTTAGGTCGAGTCAGCCCATTGACCGATACGGCGGTCGTGTTGAGATGAGTCGAGGGTCTCTAGCTTCAGACACATCTGTGCAGCAGTCATCGCACCTGCGCGGCCTTAGCGACTGACGTCAAAGTGACATCACATGGAAGTGGAAGGCCATGGTAAACCACCTGTTGGTAGAGCAAATTCTTTCCAGTTATTGTCCGCTTCCATGCTACAAGTAGTGAGTCGAAGTGTGGATGACAAGGACATCTACTTGAACTTCCAGAGTCGATTGTCGCACCCTTCTGCCGTAGCTCACATGCCTCAATTGCTCTAGCAGCATTTCTTTAAAGAATCTTGACTAAGCATTGTAGCTCTTTGACAAGACACTCCACCACAGAGAGTGATATAATGACAAGGAGGTTGAAAAGCACTGAAGGGCCGAAGACTATGACGCCATCACTGATTCATGTTCAGCAAAGAAGCAGAAGACACTAAGTTGGACACCTTGAAACTTCCGTCAACCCATCATGTGGCTTACATGGGATGTCGGGTTAGAGAAAAGCAAGTGCAACCTCTGGGTCACTCCGTGTCACTGACTCCACATCCGGATAGCTGTCAGGCATCCCAGGCAGGGCCTCTCCAATGAAGCACAAAATTATGGAATGACATGCATCAAAGTGATCCCGTCCATTGCAGACCTTGTGATCATCTTTGGTAGTCATTTTGATATGCAGCAGAGAAAAAACTGCTCAATTCGTGTCAGCCCCTGAAAGCTCCAGCACTAAACATGATGCTGAGTTTTTGAGTCTGCCTCCACGTAGCGTGTGTCTGCGCACAAACAAAAACCTGCAAAAGACTGAGCTGCAGGTAAAACAATTGGCGAGGGGAATCATAAACAACTTTGCTCTCGAATGAAGATTTACGGTACAGTATCTAGCTTTGATTGGAAAAGCACCATCAATGTGGATGTAGCACACGGCTGCTTTATGAAGCACCTTATGTAATAGTATTGAAAGAATCACCTGTCCAAATCAGTGTGTATTATATTATATATAATAAACATATATATATATATATATGAACTTCAACTTGTCATCAAACGCTCACATCCGTGGCGACAATCCCTTGGCCGTAAATGCAGTGCTTCCGCTGGTTCACATCTGTAGTCAGCCATAGTCCATAGTCCCATTCTTAAAAGCAGCTTGCGCAAGACTGCCAACTGGTTCCCATCGGTTGAAGACAATGTGTTTCTTTACAACTGTATATAATACTTGCCTGTATGCTGTATGCCTGTATCCTACGCTGTTCTGGGCATCCGGCCATACAAGGCGAGATCTAGGACGAAGATCAGCCAGAATGCTGTTACCTGCGTGGCGCACACAACGCACTTTAAGACTTTGTGCTTCTGCAGGCTGCCAATGCAGGAAGGTTCGGCGTTCGGCCTAGGGAACTTTGCAGGTCAGACTTCATGAGACGAAACTAATTAAGTACTTGAGTGGTGGACAAGTCGTGTTTGGGTGCCTTTAGGGCTTGCGTCTTTGTGTGGTTAATCAGCTCTGCCGGACGAAACACTGAAATTTGCGGACCCCTTCGGGAAAGCTAAGCAGTCCAGCACTCCTGAGGCAAAAGGCAAAAGCTCACTTGAGGCCGAGGGTTGATGACGAAAGCTAGCAGGGCAGGGGTGAAGCGGGAGATATCCGACTGATAAGGGGGTCCAAATCCTGCCGCCACAGGGAAAGTCAGCCCCCGGCCCTGCCAGCGGAAATACACACGTCTCGAGGATTCCAGCCCCTCACTTGCTAAAGCAAGAAAAACTCCAGCTAGCTGGTGCTACAGTAGCTTTCGTGATAAGCCGCATAAGTCACACTTGAGGCCGGGGGTTGGTGACGAAAGCTAGCATAGGTTGAAAAATGCAAGGAGAGTGACGCAACAGCATCGAGTACATACTCTTTTGGAGGTTTGACCGGTACTTACTGGACCAACTCCATACCAATCATTGCAAACTTGGCTGGGCATTGCTTGCTCCAATCTGGCTCTCCAAAAAGATTTTCTGTAAAAAACAGTTGCATACCTGCATATCACATGTTTTGGGGTGACGCCCCGTCACCGCCGTATGCTTTTGTTGTTTTTGAGGCCAATATCATGTGGCATTTGCATGCATTTGAGGTGTTTCCAGACACCTGTAGGGCCACTGGGGAGGCGCGTTGATACTTGGTCGTGGACTTTTGTGCATGTTTTGGTCCGAAGATGTTGTTGCGTAGGGTCTGCAGAACCACGATGATGCCACATGCAAAGTTACAAAATGGCGGGGTGGGGGGGGAGGTAGGGGAGTAACGACATTCGTCTAGATGCGCTTGGAGGATGACGCGCGGCGAAGGGTTTTCTATTAGTTTTGTTGCACTTTCTGTCAAATCCCTTATCCAAACATCTGCAAAAATTGAAGAAAAAAAAACTATGTGAGCCTTGTTTGCCCTCTCAGGTCACTGGATTAAGGTACATTTTGGATCACCATCCTGCAAATTCCATCAAAGGTTGGGGATTGCTTTGGGCCGATCGGCTAAGGCCAAACAAGCAGCTACTGGCGCTGGCGCCCGTTGAAGTTTGTGCAGTACATTATTTCATGTGGGATGATAGTATATAAAGCACCATAGAACGCCGATTTAGAAAAGTCGGAACTTAATTCCGGACTGCTTGCCTTACCCCCAGTAACCCAGTAAGAGATCTCTGAACCCTTGAACGCCACCTCCTCCAATGGCCTCTGGCGCTCATTCTTTTTCCACGCTCGACCGTTTCTCCAAAGGATTCCATCTCTCGGGGTACCAGACAGACCACGCAATCTGTGCACCACCGTTTATTGTCGTTCAATTCGTAGGATCCATAAGACCGACCTCGGATCTCTCGGCGTCCATGCAAAGACCTGGTGGATCGCGAAAGATGTGCTCCACCCCCAGACGTTCGCAGACCTTCGCCAGTGTCCAGGAGCCACACGTCTCTTATAGCCGACATTGTGACGTCCTCGCCCTTGGACGACTGCCTTTGCTTGTACTATCTTGTACTCCATGGACGTCCCAGAACTCTTGCTTGTGTGAGTGAGTTCCGTTCCAGCCTCAAAAGCATGGACATCGAAATATCGCTCAAATTGGACACAACACGATACAGCCCAGGTTTTGTGACTAAGACCCTGACAGCTCTGCAAAGAATCTAGGTTTGGCTTGCTTGGCCTTGGGACTTTCATGGCACAAACAAATGAAATCTGGATAAGCATATCCACCAAATGCGTCTCGAATGTTTTGATTCCTTCCCGTGTGTAGTTTTCAACCACCAGGTGTGTTGTCACATGAATCGGCGTTAAGAAGAGAGCCCAATGGTCGCAACCTCTTGATCAAGAAGCTACTAGTAACAAAGGGCATCGCTACTAGGAGCAAGGACGCTACTAGGAACAAGTGCCTTACTAGTAGTATCAAGTGCCTTACTAGTAGTAACAAGAAGCTATTAGAAACAAAGGGCATCGCTACTAGGAGCAAGGACGCTACTAGGGGCTTCCAACGGCCAATGGCCGAAATGGCGATCGAGACTCGACACTGGAGACTGGAAGTCAGTGCTCCTGGTCCTCGTGTCCCTGTCGTTGAATCAAGCAGTGTCATTCGGGTCTTGTCAGGGATTTTATAAGGACTCCACTCAGCCTCTGATTCAACTCACCAAAGAGCATTGTGGTGACTATTGACAATCGGTTCGAGCCCTTCAAAAAAATTGGGCCTACCTCAGCGACCTTCGTCTATTCTGCTATATATACAAATTTGTTCAACAATGGTGCGTCAAATGATTTCTCATCCAAGTTCTGAGAATGGTCTGCGGTCTCAAGAGCCCATGTGCTACCAAGGCACTGCAGTGGTGACTGTATCTTTCCAGCGGCTGATCTCACTCCAGTGTTTTCATGTAGGCATCAAGGGCCGTGCTCACGCCTCAACCGTCTGCACTGTGCCCACACGTTGGGCAAAAGGGTCTTGTCATACCTGCCCCTCTGACAACCTTGGAAAATCCGTTATAGTAGAAACAAGCAACTTGATAGATCAACCAAAGCAGCATCGATTTTACTGTATCATTAGCATCGATACCACTCAATGGATTAGTTGCGGGCGTCAAACTGCTTCTTTCCACTAAAAATCGATGGGCCGGGCCCTGGAAACCCCACCACCCCGATCAAGCAGGTCTGCATTCTTGATCCAAGAAATAGATGGGGAATAGCTCTTACTGGTCATAACTTGGCCTCTAGATGCCCAAACAGTATCCTCAGCACAAATAGTGCAGGTGTTCAAGCAACCCTGATGGTACTTCCAAGGTATTCAAGCAGGTGGCCGACAGCATCCACTTCCAGGTCTTGTGCCTCTGCATTCGGGTGGCAAAACACACGATGGACAGTCCAAGTTGATTGCAAAGAAAAATGAACTCAAATATGGCGCATGATCGTTCTTGAGCTGAAACCTACATTTTGATGTTGCACCCCTACCCCTTTAGTTGTTCTCAAAAACGTAAAATCTGTCTTTATCGCGGATGACTCAAGGAGAAGAAGAGCATCAGTTTCAAGCCATTTGGCACAATGGATCAATAGTTGACTCAACTTGTAGAGTTGACTCAGAGGGCCTTTTTCTATCGAAGGCTACTATAGTGGGAGTATTGACTCACAAGGTCCTCCAGCTGGTTTTTGTATGTCCCACACAAAAGCCGCCTGGAGTTCATTGAGGAGAACAAAAGCCAGTTGCCATTGCTTGTTGGCCTGAACCAATGGATCACCAAAAACAGCCGTGTTCCTCAATCTAATCAGGTGCGAAAGGATTTGACTCTAGGAGCTATGCACTATTCACAGAGAAGAAAAGCATGTCAACTTTTGATTTCGTGTGGTTGCGATAAGACCAAGCTGCGGCCATGGCGTTGATGAGGGAGTTGTGGGTGATGACGTCAGTCTCCAAGCAGGGCCGCACGGCCCAGGACACGTAAACAGCACTCGGAAACAAGGCCGTACGCAATCCTTTCTGTAGAAACTTAAATCACAGCAACTGATCACACTACGTTTCTTTCCCTAGCTGATACTTTGGGAAGACAAATATCCCGTGCTTGTCCGAGACAGCTAGAAAAGGCAGCAGGGTTTACAGTGCATGTTAAGTTTCAACTCTCCTAAGCCGTACTGTAACCCTCCAAACCGGGTAGTAGGGATACATGTTGCACTGTCTCAACTCCCTCCTACGTGCTCCAGCAGACAAAACAATAGAACAAGGTGGCACTTCAAATTGCGTGGAAGACGAGCTGCCTCTCAAGAATGTTCAAATCCTGAATGTGGCTTCGTGACTGAGCTTGCAATGGCACTTTGTCGCCTCCAAACCTTTCGCCCGTAGTTGGCTAAAGATTTGAAGACTTGACCTGAACCAAGCGCAACAAGGCATCCACCGGCAAAGGACCGGGCCGGGTCTCTGAGAGGACAATTCTTTTTCTTTTGCTTGAGGTGGTTTTTAGGGTTTTTAGGTCTTTGACCACCACCAGGTGCTTGCAAGAGAGAAGGGTCTCTGACATGATCTGAGTAGCTGCCACGGAAGAGACTTGCTGGAGATGTCGAGCAAAGTGTTGTATG